CTTGCTTGGTATGGCTACCTTCAAAAATGATTTTTTTAATTTTATACATTTTTTACATCATTTTTCATTTTTGCACAATGTATGCATTTTCATCTTGGTTATAGTCCTCATACAATTCCCACCACCCTTGTTTGATCTTACTCCCTTCTCCCCCCAGGTAGTGTGTCTCTGGTTTATAGTTGCTTGTTGATTTTTACTTTATTATAATTAGTCTTTTTCCTGGTCCCTTATCTAGGTTTTCTAAATTACTGCTATGAGTGAAATCATCCAGTATTTTCTTTTTCTTTCTGGCTTATTTTGCTGAGCATGATCCCTTCCAGCTCCATCCATGTTGCTGCAAATGGCATGAGTTTATATATTTTGATTGCTGAGTAATAGCCCATTGTGTATATGTACCACATCTTCTTGATCCAGTCATCTATTTTGGAGCATTTGGGTTGTTTTCATAGCTTACCTATAGTAAATAGTGCTGCTATAAACATAGGTGTGCAGGTGCCCTTTTGAATTCATGTTTCTGTGTCCTTTGGGTAAATACCTAGGAGTGAAATTGCTGGATCATATGGAAGCTCCATCTTTAGCAGACTGAGGAATCTCCACACAGCTCTCCACAGTGGTTAGACCAGTTTGCACTCCCACCAGCAGTGCAGGAGAGTTTCTTTTTCTCCACATTCTCACCAAATGACTTCTGTTTTAAAGGAAGGAATTAAATCCATAAATATTGCTGAATTTGCTGTTTTCCTTGAATTTGTCCAGATTCAGTGATAAATAATCATCAAACATGATCTTATTTATTTAGCAATAAACATATTTCATGTTGAAATTGTCAGAGTATTAAATAACTTTCTTGAATATCATAATTCATACCAGAGCAATGGCATTGATATTTGCACTGTTTTTACAAAAGCAATGATGGATAAAACTACTTGTATTATGAATCAAGGCAATAGCACTGACTCTAGTCGGCATTGTATGTCTCTGCTAAATACTTGCAGAAAAACAAGCCAGTTATCCTTAAAAATACCTTAATAAAGCATCAAAAAAAAAGTTAATTTTATTACATTTTGGTCCATGAGAACACATGTTAAAATTCTTGATAACTTAGTTATAATACTCACTACTTACCCACAGGGAAATATTCTAAAGACTACCAATAAATGCCTGAAACAGGGATAATAATGAGCCCTACATATACTGTTTTTTCCTACACGTACATATCTGTAATAAAATTTAATCTATAAATTGGGCACATTAAGAGATTAACAACAATAACTAATAATAACATAGGACAAATATAATAAAAATATTGTAATAAAATCTGTGTGACCATCCATATTTCACTGCTCCAAAATATCTTATTCTATCTAACATTCTAGGAGCACAGTTGATTCTGGCAATTGAAAACAAGAAAAGGAGAGGGAGGGAGGGAGGGAGGGAGGTAGGGAGGGAGGGAGAGAGGATGGAGGGAGGGAGGGAAGGAAGGACTGAAGGAAGGAAGCTAACTTACCTACAGAAAAGGGGACACTAGTATATTAGCAAATACAATTCAATAATATATGAAAAGAATTAAACATTCTGATCAATTGGATTTATTATGTGAAATCAAGGTTGGTTCGATATTTAAAAAATCAATCAATATAATTTACCATATCAAAAGGCTAAAGAATAAATATCATATAATCATATGGATTTATGTAAAAAAGCATTTGACACAATTCAACACCCATTCATGATAGAAACTTTCAGAAAACTAGGGAGAGAGGGGAAGTTCCTCATCTCAAAAAACCCTGCATATAACACTATTCATAATGAAAAAAGAATTAATTTTCTCCCTAAGTTGGAAAAAGACAAAGATAGACATTCTTATTACTTGTATTCGACATAGTACTGGAAATTCTAGTCAGTGCAGTAAGACCAGTGAAGAAAATAAAAGGCATACAGGTGAGAAGGAAACAAATATCTCCCTAGTTACAGGGGACATAATTTTCTAAATAAAAAATTCAAGGAATCTACCAAAAACAAAACAACAAAACTTCCTAGAACTTATAAGTAAGTTTTAGTAGAATTGTAAGATATAAGATAAATACAAAACAAAGACTATATTTCTTTATATTATTAATGGACACTAATATTTAAAATTTAATGCCACTTATATTTTCTCAAAATAAGAATAAATTCTTAGGTGTATTCTACACATACACATAGGATATACATGCAGAAAACTACAAAAATGTTAATGAAAGAAATAAAAGGAAACTTAGATAAATGGAGGACACTGTTTATGGGCTGGAAGACTCAATTATTAATAAAGATATCAGTTCTTACACACAAGGTTATCCTGTTAACCCAAGATAAGTAATCAGACTATAATGTAATTAGGAAAATGTTTGATGACCAGAATCATGACTTGGGCCAATGACAAAAGGGCAGTCTCAAGGTATTTTCCAACAGGATCAGGATATAAGGGGGTTTTAAAGGCTCAACTACTAGTTAAGTGGCCATAATTGGTAGGCAAAAATATCCAGGCAGAAGGTGGGGAATCTGTTATAACGATCAGCAGGTGGTCTCTTGCTTTTTTCTTTTTCTTTTTAAAGATTTATTTATTTATGCAAACAAGAACTGGGGTACAGGCCTGAGGTGCGGGGAGTGAGAGGATTCACCAGAGACAGAGTGGGTAACAGAACAGGCAGATTGACCGAAGTACACTGCTGAGGGGAGCAGTGGGCAAGTCAGGAGAGGTCTGCTGGGCCATGTGGGTCTCCTCCTGGGCCAGGGATTGAACCTGTGCTGCAGTGGCTGCGGGTAGCTTCAGAGTGCTGTGTCTTAACCCCTTGCACCACCAGTTTACATACTGTATAACTTCATTTATATAAAGTAGTTGAAATGACAAGGTTCTATCGATGGAGAACAGATTAGTAGTTGCCAGAGGTTAAGAAGGATGTGGTGACTGGAATCAGGAGGGTTGGCTACAAAGGGCAAAATGAAAGATCTTAGTGGTGACAGAAATGCTGTTTTGACTGTCTCACTATCAGTAATCTGGCCGAGATACTGTACTATATATAGTTTAGCAAAATGTTATTATTGGGGGAAACTGGGTAAAAGACACAACATCTCTAAGTGCTATATTTTATGATTCCATGTGAATCTAATTTTCTCAATTTTTCTAATTTAATTGAAAATGGGTTAATTTTCAATGGGTTAAGCATCAGATGGGTTAATCAGATGGGTTAATTCTCTTCCACTTATCCTAGTTTCAATTATTCTTTAGAATCAAACCTCTTATTTCAACCACCTTTTTCTCAACAGATACCACCACAACAACTAACATTAACAGGCACTTGTTATGTGACAAAGAACTTTATGTGCTAAGAATTTTATGTGCATTAACTTATTTCATTCTCCTAAGATAACTTTTAATTCTACTTTTCTCAGGACCTAACAGTCCCAGACACCACCCTCTCTACTTTATCGTCATCCATTCACTCCATTTTTTTCTTATCTTAGTAATGAAGAGATCTCCATTTCCCAGATCAGGTCAATCCTTTCATTTAAGCACGGAATCCTATCTTCCCAGGACCTTAACTCCATCCAATATCCTCTTTACTATATTTTAAACCCCTCCCTTCCTATTAGTTACATTCTGTCCGAACTGTTCAAATCTCCTATCACTCAAAAGCTTCTCTCACCTTAGTATCAGCCATTCTCACTACCCTTTGAGAAGCCATCCTAAACATCCTGCTCCTTCTCCATGAAAGCCTGACCTCTTCCCAGCACTTGACACCACTATCGATCGCTTTAAATCCTCTCTCCTTTAGGCTTCTCTGACATCTTGACCCTGTGAAAGTTGAGGTAAGTGACACTGGTGACCTAAAAGGGGAGGAAACCAACTATAATAAAGGGGGGTATGAGAATGGCTGAGGAGGCAAGTGAAGACTGTTACATTTTTATTAGCACCACGCTCTAACCAACTGAGCCAGCCCTGACTGTTACATTTTCAGGGGGGTCTTGGGAGACCAGAGAAGGAGCTACACTGGGCATTAAAAACAAAATGACCGTGATTTTTACTCTCTTTTCCCCATCATTTTCACTCTTTCCTGCCCCGGGTCTTCTGAGAGGCTGCAGAAACTCAAGGAAAAACTAGAAGGTAATCTAGTCATACTGAATCTTTGTCACACTGAATTTGTCATACTTGATCTTTGTCATACTGAATTCCCAAGCAACAGCCAGCGGGCGCGGCCGGGTGCAGCGAAAAAGGCGTGCTCTGCCGGCCGTGCAGACCTGTCGCGGGCGGGATGGAGGCAGCCCTTTAGTTGCCTGCGGAACCCAGGAGCTGGGCCGCAGTTGTACCTCCGCGCGGGGCCGCTGGGCGGCGGACGCGTGCGCGCTTGCGCGGCTGCGCTTCCGGCCCCGGCCTTGCGAGGTCCCGGAACTGGGCGCGGGGAATCCTGTTACTGGTCCGGACCTTGACAGCAGCTGCTCCCCGAAGATCCCAAGGTCGGCGCGGAACACGCACGAGGCGGTTGGAGGCTGGCGGAGGACCCAGGCCGCAGCGGCGAACGGAGGAGAGCTAGACCGGCCTGGCTGGCGGTGCCATTTGCTCTGTGCATCCACTATCCGGCCCCGGCCAGAGCTGACAAAGGGCGTGGGTGTCGGGTGGGGGATAGAGGAAGGATCTAGGTTAAATAAATTTTTCTGCAGATTCAGTGCCATTAAGTCCTGCGAGCCCATACTGTTTAAAAAAAAAAAAAATGAAGAAATTAAGGCTTAAGGAACTAGAGAGTCGCCTGCAACAAGTAGATGGATTCGAAAAGCCCAAACTACTTCTAGAACAGTATCCGACCAGGCCTCACATTGCAGGTAGGGCGGCTGGTGATCGCGCCCTTGTTTGGCAAGTTCGTCCTAACACAGCGTGATGAAAATAGTTTTTTGGATATAAAGAACGTCTAGAGGAATTCTGCTCTAAAGCTACTGATCATGTTAGCGGCACTGACTTTATATGCATTAACTCATTTCATTCTAACAGATAACTTGACTCCATAACTAAAGAGACTCTCTCTTCCTTCCACTACCCACCTCCCCACACAGATAGTTTGGTTTTCTTCATACTCCTTACCACTTATCAGACATTTTTAATGTATTTGTCTCTTTCACTACACTATAAACTCCCTGAGGGCAAAGAATTTGTTGATTTTTGTCATACTGAATTCCCACTGCCTAAGAGTTTCCAGTACTATGAGGAGCTCAGTAAATATTTGCTAAATGAGGATCAATTTTTACTGCAGTTGTCAGTGGAAAGATTCCCATGCTATACTGCTCCCTAAAAATGACTACTAGAGTTTGTACCTGAGGGACTGGGTTTAACAAATTCACTGTAGATGCTATAAAAGGATAAGAATGAATTTCAACAATCTGAAGATCAACAGTATTCCTTAATGTGAAAAGTAAAGGGGAGAACATGGGGAGAAATATTTAATAAATTGTCAGATTCACTGGGGAATCTTAGAAAATTTAATTTATTGGGAACACAGTGTAAGGAAGAATTCCTTTCCACTCCAACAAAGTTCTGTTTCTAAGTTTTGTTTCTTTTTCTGCCAATGAAAATCAAGGGAAATACATGCATACCTACATTTAACTGCAACATATTGTCATAAATTCAACCAAAAATTGGCACAAAACGAAGATCCATTAGTGATTACTTCTTTAGTGTGTTCTGACTAAAGGGTTTCTTAGTGGAGTTCAATTTCTTTTTTACCTAAGAGTGGCTTCACACCCAGTATGCAACATGTACATGTGTGTGCTCATTCTTTGAAATACCAGCTTCAAAGTCACTAACACCTGCAGCAGTAATCAGGACAGCACAGTCAGCCTGAGCTGTCACTATAATTGTGTATTTGATAAATGTTCTGGATTCTGAAGTATCAATGATTGCCAGTAGCCCTTGCTGGGTTCAGATATCCACAGTGGTGTTACTCTTGCTTTACTTTCAGTTTACTTTAGACTTGTGTATTTGAAAGATCCCTTTCTGATCTCAGCAGCTTCTATCCTGTTCATTTGTTTTTTAGTATCAGATCTTATTAGATTATGAATAAGTATCTGTAAATTATTAATATAATGTCTGCATATATGTATCTTAAAGGCTATATAGTGTGGTTGTAGGTCTCTTTCTTTGATCTTCTAGCTTGAACTTACGGTAACTCTGCTCCAGTGGCAAACTGGTATATATGTTCTGTGTGATTTTAAGGTTAATATTTGTTTAATATTAGTGGTTCCTAGCTTTACAGACTTCACAGGCCAGTAAAATTCTAAAAAGTAAAATTTTGGAGGCTGATAACAAATTGCCAAGAACATATTTTGACAAGGAAAAATAATTTTAAAACCTATTTATACTTACAATCATTTCATAAAAATATTTCAATATCAAACAAAGATCTTATTTTTGTCATTTTACCTCAAAGTTTTGTTATTCTTGGCATTGTCGGCAGCTACTAGTTTTGGGGAACCTCTGGTAAGTATTACCCACCTTTGTGGGGCTTCTTATTACACACTAAGTTGTTATACCTTAATTGTTTTTAAATAACCTGGAACATCAATTGGAGGAGGATTAAATACAAGAAGCTGTTTTAGAATAATTGCATTTTTGTCCTCGGCTTCCTTACTTATTCCCTAATTTTTTTTTTTGTCTTTTAGCATGTATGCTTTATACAATCCATAACACATATGATGACATTGAACATAAAATGGTTGCAGATCTAGGATGTGGTTGTGGAGTGCTTAGCATCGGAACTGCAATGTTAGGAGCAGGGTAGGTGATCCAGTATATATATATATATATATATATATATATATATAATATGTTGGGTATGGGGTGGTTATAATAAGCATAGATATAATTATATTCACGGGATTCTACAGTATGAGATGAGAGCAAAAAGCTGGCACTGAGTGCATTTTAAATGGACAAAACAAACTACTAAAAAGTCAAAACTAGTAACAGAAGCAGTCAGATGCCTACCTATTATACAGACTGAGTTTCCAACCCCTTCTAGATTGAGAGGTCACGCTTTTGAAAGGCAATATATAGCATGGAGACAGTGGCTCTGGCAGTTCAGCAACCTAAGGATCTGACTCCAGGAGAGTGCTATGGTTCCATAGCCCCAGGTCCCTACTCTAAACAAGCACATCCCCAGTGAGCCATGTTTTCCTCATGATGAGCATTCCCACCATAACCAGACAGTAACCAGCAACCTTGCCTATCTTATCTGGATTCATGTGTTCTGGGCTCTGATGCTGCCTTTCCTGACAGAGATGCCCCTCTTGCAAGGACCAGAGGAGCTGTTACAGTTTTGTAACATACTGAGTTGCAGGAAAATAGTTAATTGTAATAAATGAATTGTATGTAAAAATCTGTGAAAAAAAAAGACAGCATTTAATTGAATTAAAAAGGTTATTGTTTTGACATGGGGCTACAAGTAATCATTCTGTGTTTTGTATTTATAGGTTATGTGTTGGATTTGACATAGATGAAGATGCATTGGAAATATTTAATAGGAATGTGGAAGAGTTTGAGTTAACAAATGTTGACATGATTCAGTGTGATGTGTGCTCCTTATCTAACAAATGTCCAAGTCATTTGACACAGTAATTATGAATCCTCCCTTTGGAACCAAAAATAATAAAGGTTAGTAATAATCAGGTATACTGGTATATTTGTATGTTTTTTAATTTTTCATGTTTTCTATTTATTGCTATCTATTTGATGAGATATCTTCATCATACTGCTTTCCCTTTTTTTAATTTATTTTGAGGTAACATTGGTTTACATCACTGTATATGATTTAGAGGAATAGGTTCATACCTCCTCAGATGTGTATCACCACACCCCAGAGCACCCATATCACTTTATCATGTACCACTGGAACTCTTCTCCACCCCCTCACACCACAGTAGCAACCTTAATTCTGCAGTCATTTTATTTTGGTTTAGTTTTGTTAGTTTTCTTTGTTTTGTTTTGCGTGAGTGAAATCATCTGACATTTTTCTTTCTCACTGTGGTTTATTTCACTAAGCATAATCCCCTGCATTTCCATCCATGTTGTAAATGATAGGAGTTCATCTTGTTTTATAGCTGAATAGTATTCTATTGTGTATATGCATCACATCTTAATCCAGTCATACGTCACTGGGCATTTGAGTTACTTCTATAACTTGGCAATTGTAAGTAGTGCTGCAATGAACACAGGAGTAAATATATCCCTTCAAATTGTGCTTTTACATTCTTTGGATAAATGCCACATAGTGGAATTGCTGGATCATATGGTAGATCTATTTTTAATATTTTGAGACACCTCCATACTTCCTTCCATACTGACAAAAAGTTGACAGTAAGTTCAACATTTTTTCATGTGCCCATAGGCCATTTGTAGGTCTTCTTTAAATAAGTGTCTGTTTAGCTCCTCTGCCCATTTTTGATTGTGTTCTTTGTTGTCTTTTTATTGCGTTGTATGAATTCTTTGTAGGTATTGGATATTAGCCCCCTGTCCTATATATGATGTGCAAATATTTTCTCACATACCCTACAGTGTCCTTTGTTTTGCTGATAGTTTATTTCACAGTGCTTTTTAGATTGTTTATTTTTGTTCCTATTTTCCTTGATGTTAGAGTCCAGTCCCCAAAGACATCCCTGAAGCCAATGTTGTAGAGTGTTTGCCTATGTTTTCTTCTGTGTATTTAATGAATTTTTTAAAAAGATTTATTTTTATGTATTTATGCATACAAGAGCTGGTGTATAGGCCAGAGGTGTAGGGGCATAGGACAGAGAGGATTCATGAGAGACAGAACAGGGAGCAGTACAGGTGGACTGACTGAAATACATTGCTGAGGGGAGCAGTGGGTGAGGCAAGAGGGGTCTGCTGTGCCATGTAGTAGCTCCCTGGCCTGGGATCCATAGCTTCATAGTGCTGAGACTTACCCCCTTGTGCCACCAGGGAGGTCCCGTACCTAATACTTTTTGATGCTAATGTAAATGGGATTGTTTTCTTGACTTCCTCCTCTTCTGGGTCAGTATTTGCATGTAAGAATGCCATTGACTTTTGAATACAGATTTTTTTAGCATGTCACTTTACTGTATTTTTTGTTTCTAATATTTTTTGTAGAGTATGAGCAAACCATTGCATCAGTTTTCTTTCTTGTGATAGCCTTATCTACTTTAGGTAACAGTATTGTTGGCTCCTAGAATACGTTTGAGAGCATTCCATCTTCCTCAGTTTTTGGGAAGAGTTTGAGAAGGATAGGTATTAGTTCCTCTTTGAAACTTTGAAAGAACTCACTGGTGAAACTATCTGGTCCTGGGCTTTTGTTTTTGGGGAGATTTTTTTATTACTGTCTCAGTTTCCTTGCTTGTGATTGGTCTGTTCAGGTTCTCTATTTCTTCTTGATTCAGTCTTGGAAGGTTGTATGTAGAAGCAAATTTTAAAACTATTTTCTCATTGATTGGGTTAATGATCTTATGACTGTTCATTAAATAAATCAGTTTCTTTACTGTAAAGTTTTATAATTTTAGCTTAAATATAAAGTGCATTAATTGAATCACTAATTAATGGTTAATAGGAGAAATCATTAGTTGAATTGCTAGGGAATGGAATTAAAAATGTTTTTTCACTAATTTGTACTGAGTATTCTTTTTTTCTTAATTTATTGTTTATATACCATCTGCTTACAAGAATGATTTACCTAACACTTATGAATGGTTATAAGTACTACATACAATTTTATACTTTTAAAACCTCTATTAATGCTTTAACACACTGAGGATTTCAATATATGATCATCAGTAACAGAGACTCATTGTGGCTATTAATTTTGTGTGTGCTGTGAACAAGGAGGATAGTAAGAGGAAGAAAAGACATAGTTTAAAGTCCTTCCTCTACCCCCTGCTATGATTCTGATTATTGCTCTACTTGTTTCCTTCTCCTATCTTTGAAAGTCACTAATTTGGAATATAAAATTTTTACTTTAGCCTTATTTAACCAGATGCTATAATTCTGGTTTTAGTCTATCAACCTTAAAAGATTTTATTGAGATATGTGTACCCAATCTTGTTGCACAAAGAATTTGGAATGCTCTTTTGGAGTTTGAAAAAAAATATTTCTAAATACCCTAGTATTCATTTAATCTTGTATTTTGATAGCAGGTGAATGAGGAGTTTTTTTCCTACTCTCAATAGGAACAGATATGGCTTTTCTGAAGATTGCATTGGAAATGGCAAGAACAGCAGTATATTCTTTACACAAATCCTCAACTAGAGAAGTAAGTTCAAATCAGCATGCTGTTCTTTGTCACTTATTTTTTTTTTAAATATGCAAATAGATTTTTTTTTTTTTTATAGAGGCATGTTTTTTTATTTATTTTTTATTTGTTTTTTTTTGTTTTGTTTTGTTTATACATGCACTGGGTACAGTCAGAAACGCGGGAGGGTGAGAGAATTCACCAGAGCCAGAGTAGGGAGCAGAGCAGGCAGAAGGACCGAAGCACACTGCTGAGGGGAGCAGCGGGCGGCAGGAGAGGTCTGCGCGCCATGTGGGACCCTCCTCCAGTGGCCGGGAAGCAGCCAGGGATCGAACCGGTGCCGCGGAGGCTGCGGGCAGCTTCGCAACCCAGCGCTCAACCGCTGCGCCACGGGGGAGGCCCTCTTTGTCACTTATTTTTAATTTCAAGACAGTTTTTAAGGATTTGTTGTAAATACTAAGTATTAGGGTATCTTCTTTCAACATTTGGCATTTAGGAACTGAATTTTCTAGCATTTTAACTAGCTTTCTTCTCGCCTATATAACGTCTTTCATTAAAGATTCAGGCAGGGCAGAAGTGTGATATAACTAGGGTTACAATATGTCCTGGTTTGCCTGGGTAAGTCCCAATGTCTCTGTGTGGTCTGGTGTGCATAAGGGAGGAAGTAAGCCTTACTTTTTTAAAGAACATTGAGCTGGGAGCTAAACTGATTTGATCTCAGAGCCTACTTCTTCCATTATTCTTCTTGACAACATATAGCACATATAATCTCAACACTTCTGAGAGTGTAAGATTAGTCCAGGAGGTGGGAATGGTATTTTTTTTTTTTTTTTTTTTAGTGTCAATATAGTAAGTGATCAAGAACAGACTGTGGTGCTAGACTCCCTGGGTTCAGAGTCAAACTGCTGCTTCCCAGCTGTGTTATCTTTGTCAAGGTACTTGAACTTCTGTTTTGTCATCTCACTGTACTCATAAGGAACTAAGAGTACCATATATTTTATAGGGTTATTCTGAGGATTAAATGAGTTAAAATTTACAAAGCACTTAGAAGAGCTTCTTGCATATGTACTTGCTATGTGTTAGCTACTATTTCTTTAACTCATACATTTATTAAAGAGATTTTAAAGTGGTTTTACAGGAAAAATATTTGTGTAAATTTAGTATACTGGAATCCATTTGGAAACGGTATGTTTTGGATATATGGTAATCTGGTGAACCCATTTAAAAGTAGAAAGTCAAGGTTAAAAGTATACATACTGCTAACAATGAGGAGTGCATATAGATAAGCAGCAGAGCACAATATAATTTTACTGGTACATAAATCCGTGCTCAGGTTTGATGATTCACAAGGAAGTCTCACAGGAGCTTATAATTCTGCTCATTGCTGTTTTATTATAGCTAGCTAAGGACACAGCAAAACAGCCAACCGGAAAGGTGAATGGGATGAAGTCTAGGTGAATCAGGTGCAAGCTTTCAAAGTCCTCTCCCAGTGGAAACATAGAGTGTACATAGTTCTCCCAGCAGCTAATTTTTGTAACAAAGCATGTGAAATGTTACCAACCTGGAAAACTCATTAAAGACCTGCTGCCCAGGGTTTCCTCTGAGGACTGATCATGTACCTGGAACTTATGAAAATTCCAACTCCAGTAGCTAGACAGGTAGTGACAATAAAAAGTTTAAGCACAATGAGCCAATCTTATCAATTAAGGGGATCCCCAAATCTAAGTTCCATATTCTAGCCAAGGGCCAACGTTATAATAAGTAGACCCTTTTAAAGATGATTAATCAGGTTTGCTATGAACTCTTTTCTGCACAACTTGACATGAAATATATTAGTCATAGTTCATGTAGATTAAGTAAAATATTCCAGCAGCAACAACAACAACAAAAAATGCAATTAAACAGCAAAGAAAGTCTACTTACTTGAACGTCCTGGAGCCACATTACCAAGGAACTCACATCTTGTTTGGTTTTGCCATGCTCCACCACGAGGAGGCAGCATTATCAGATTTGTCTTGTCAGGGTTACTAGTTGAATTTTAAGCCAATAGTTTCATTAAATATATTTTTAGACAGTGCAAAAGTATTTCTATTAGTATAGTAATTGATTAAAAAATTAATCTAGTAGTATTATGCATATTTAAAGGGTATGATGAGGAATAAATGTTCAATATCAAGACTTTCTATGAACTGGTGATAATTTTGCTTGTTTTATTCTATGTGATTAGTAACATTGTCACTGGTCCTTTGGTTACCAGATTCCTTAACTATAGGCCCTTGTTTTTTAAAAGTGCTTGGCCCTCTATTCATTTCATAAAATTCTTTGATCGAAATATTGATATTTAGGGCCTCCCCGGTGGCACAGCGGTTGAGCGCTGGGTTGCGAAGCCGCCAGCAGCCTCTGCAGCGCCGGTTCGATCCCCGGCTGCTCCCCAGCCACCGGAGGAGGGTCCCACATGGCGCGCAGACCTCTCCTGCCGCCCGCTGCTCCCCTCAGCAGTGTACTTCAGTCCTTCTGCCTGCTCTGCTCCCCGGCTCTGGTGAATTCTCTCACCCTCCCGCGCTTTTGACTGTACCCAGTGCATGTATAAACAAAAACAAACAAATGAATAAATAAATAAATAAAACATGCCTCTATTTAAAAAAAAAAAAAAAAAAAAAGAAATATTGATATTTAAGTAAAATGTTGAGTATATCCTGGGACATATACTAAAACTATGTTACTTACTCTTAAAGCTGTTGCCGTGTCTTCATTAGGCATTCTGAAAACCTGCTTTTGGCTCAGAGCAGAGTAGGTAAACCAGGCTGCATTTTTTCACATATTCTGTGCTTAACTCATTCATTCTTTTCTCTCTCAACCAACACCAGATTCCATCATTTCCATCTAAAACTATTCATTTCATAAAATTCTTTGATCGAAATATTGATATTTAAGTAAAATGTTGAGTATATCCTGGGACATATACTAAAACTATGTTACTTACTCTTAAAGCTGTTGCCGTGTCTTCATTAGGCATTCTGAAAACCTGCTTTTGGCTCAGAGCAGAGTAGGTAAACCAGGCTGCATTTTTCACATATTCTGTGCTTAACTCATTCATTCTTTTCTCTCTCAACCAACACCACATTCCATCATTTCCATCTAAAACCTTTTTCACAAACCTTAGGCTCCAATAGCAACAAAATATCATAGTTTATTGCTCACAAATTTATCAAGGATTCTAAGATTCCACTAAATTGTATTCCTCCACTGAAATCTATATCCTAATACAGGAATTCTATATCTCAAAGATTAATCATTCAATTTAGAAAAAATTTATAAGCACAAACATTGTCAATACTTACCAGAAATATTTGAACCTAAAATAGTAGGGAAAGTTTATCAATCAACTTGATCCCAATAACAGTGAATACTACTAACATGAAAATGCTTATACCAGACACTAAGCTCTTTTGTTGTATTCCTAGAAAACTATATACACACCTAATTTATTTAAGTGATTATGGGGAACTTTTTTCCCATATTCATTTATGTTACAGTGTTATATATAGTATATATTAATATTTGAGAATAAAGCAATTTTTTCCTGTCAAAATTAATAACCAGATAAGGAACATGACGTAAGAATAAATTGCTCAGGGTTATAGAGCTAGTAAATAGAAAAACAGCAGTTCAAGTGGAGGCTGTCTGGTTCTAGAAACATACAACTATCATACCATATTGCCATTAAATTGCCTCTAGATACAGATCTCTACAGATGGTTTTCAGGATAGCTATATTTATTAATTTTATAGAAATCATTTTGACTACATTATTTTCTGAAATAATTACTTGAATTGTGTAATTTGGTTCAGACTGTTAACTATATTTAAATGGCTTGGTATCTCATCTTCAAAATAGTTGAAAGGTTAGGGGATCTAAATTCCTTTTCTTTTTTTTAAGATTTTTTAATTATTTATGCATACAAGAGCTAGGGTGTAGGCCATAGGTGCGGGGGTTGGTGAGAGAACTCACCAGAGACAGAGTGGGGAGCAAAACAGGCAGATATACTGAAATACACTGCTGAGGGGAGCAGCGGGCGAAACAGGAAAGGTCCGCTGCACCCTGTGGGTCAGCTCAGATGACTACATAGTACTGAGACTCAACCCCTATGCCACCAGGGAGGCCCTAAGGGATTTAAATTCTAATCAGATTTTTAAAGTTTGAAAACTTGAAATCAAGTAATAGTAAAAAATTACTTTTTAAGAATTATTTTAAAATCAGCTCATGTTAACATTTTGTGTTCAGCATATTCAAAAGAAAGCTGCAGAATGGAAAATCAAGATAGATATTATTGCAGGTAAGACAATTTTTTAAATTTCCTACAAAAGCATTTCAATTCTAATTAAAGCTAACAATTTTATGTATTACTTATTAAAAAAATATTGGTAGATTGATAATATTGCATGATTTAGGTGCACACCTCTTATGAGGTATGCTATCACACTGCACTACCAACGGAGCACCTATAATCCCTACCATAATTTTCATACAGGTGTTGAAGACTGTAAAATGTTATTTCTCAGTGTATGTACACAGGGCATGTGTGCCTTGGCAATAGGTAAGAGATGGAGTCAAAGCAGACTATCTGTGTTGAGGCTATCCCAGTTTATCCATCTTATTGAAAATTTCTAATAGCACCCACATGGTCACTCCACATTCAGAAACAACACGCGCCTTAAAAGCTTAGAATTGGGAGTTGATTAGATAGACTTGTTTGATAGAAGTCAACCGTGGTAAATGTTTGGAAATACAATTTTCATCCTTAGGTGGTTTTTGTTTTACAGAACTGCGGTATGACCTACCAGCATCATACAAATTTCATAAGAAGAAATCAGTAAGTTTCTTGATTCTGACTTCTTTACATTTAGTACTGAAAAACTTTGCAAGTTTTTTTTTTTTAAGATTTATTTATGCATACAAGAACTGGGGTACAAGCCAGAAGTGGGGGAGGGGAGGATTCACCAGACAGAGTGGAGAGCAGAACAGGCAGATCTACTGAAATACACTGCTGAGGGGAGCAGCGGGTGAGACAGGAGAGGTCTGCTGCGCCAGGTGGGTTGCTCCCTGGCCAGCCGGGGATCAAACTTGTGCTGTAGAGGCTGCAGATAGCTTCACCACAGTGCTGTGCTTAACCTCTTGTGCCATCAGGGAGGCCCCAAGTATTTTTTTAATAAAACTTTTATTATCATTGGTTTACACAGTAAGTTATTTCTATTATCAAGTTGCCTTGAGTAGCTCAGCAGACATACAGGCACACCTTGGAGATATTACAGGTTCAGTTCGACTACAGTACTTGGTATCCTAGTGCACAGAAGTTGTATTTACACTAGGCCTAGTAAGTGTGCAAAGCATGTCTTAAAAAAAAATGTACATAGCTTAATTAAATGTGATAGACAAGAAGTGAGCAGAGTAGAAAAACAGACTTGGTAGATGCAGGGTTATCACAAACCTTCAATTTGTAAAAGAAATGCAATATTATGAAGCAAAATGAAACAAGGCATGCCTGTAATTAACCATGGGATTGACCCATAATTAGCAGCCAATATTCTGGTTTAAAATTCTTTCTCAAGGCAGGACATAAATCTGCTTAACAGTCTTACCTTTGTTTATTGTGCCTTCCCTGGTAACCTCCTAACCCTTTTTATAACCCCATCCCCCCTTGTTTAGCTAAGATTATTTAATATGGTATCTGAAGTCATGTGAGCAAGTTATGCAGTTTCTTACTGGGTCTTTCCCATGTACACAGGAAATATACTTTTTGACCTTTTTCTCTTAAATAAAATATTCTCAAGTGCGTTGGGAAGGAAAAGGAAACAAAAACTAAGATTTTGCTTTTTATATAGTATATATTTTATTAGTTTGTAGTAATACATTTTTCATATTACAAAGGCAATTTAGTGGAAGAATCTTCCTTTTGATATTGAATCATCTGAAACAACACAAACAGAACTATACATTTAAAAAAAATCCTCATTTGGATAACAAAAAGACAAGTTAAACAACAAAAGACTTTTTTCTTTCTTACAGGTGGACATTGAAGTGGACCTAATTCGGTTTTCTTTTTAAAAGCCTTCAAAGACAAAAGCAGTCTAAAACCTAATTATTAAAATGAATAAAAAAATTTTTTTTACTAAACTACTGGTCTCCAGCACCATTTTCTGTTTTCTGTTGTTTAGATGCAGGTTCGTGTATGTCTAGTTCTGGTTCTTCTCTTGCTCTTTTTACTGCTCCTATACAATAACAGAAGTAGTATTTGTTAAATTTATTATAAGCATTCTATTTTAATACTGAGCATAATTATTTAAAATGATTAATAACTTCCATCACTAATTAGAAAAAGCTTTAATCTCCTAAGTACCTTTGTATTTAATTTGTGAAACAGCATGAGGTTGATCACAATTCACAAACATCACTTACACAGACGTGAAAAACCATGTCCATTCTCATAAAAATACCAAAGAACTTAGGAAAAAACTTACCATCTGCATCATTTTCATCATGTTCATCATCACTATCAAATTTAGTTTTCTTGCCTTGAAACTGTACTTTTCCTTTAGCAGATCCACCTTGGGCAGCTTTATTTCCCTTTCCTTTTCCTTTAAATCTGCGACCTATAGAGACATAATTGAGAAATAAGTAAAGAAGTGTTATAAATTTCTTGTCAATGTTTTTGAACACATATTAAAATTTTCACTCAAGCAAGTGAGTTAGAAAAAATCACAATAAATGACCTTTTGATTTCCATTTGTTCAGGGACTCTTGTTGATCTTCTATGATTTTTTTCAAAGCTTCTTTTTCCACATCCCCTTCTAATACTTCCCATGTCACGTCTTTGTTCCTTAATTGTAAATTACCATTGTTTGCGTCTTTGGCTTTATCCAGAGCATCCTTAGCTTTTTCTTTAAATAGAATTATTCCCTATATCAAAGACAAAATAAGAGCCACACCCTTAAGTTCTTATTCCCACTGTACTTTCTTTGTTCAAAGTAATGTTTTCTACCCTGCAAATTTATGCCATTACTAATTTCAATAAATTTTACTGATTAGGAAGGAAATTACTACAAAACTTGCAGTTGTTAATACCAACTTACTGGTAACATTAATTCATAAAATATCATATCCAGCAAGAGCAATAGTGATCAAGTATGAATGTTTCCAAACCTCTTTTGCTCCTCTGACAAAGTCTATCCATTTTATTTCACCATGGTTTGAGAAAAGGACGTGCAAATCTTCTCTACAGGTCTGATCATCTAAGTCTCCAGAAAATTTCAGCAAGCAGCCAATTTTTTCTTCTATGGATTTCTATTAAAAATATACAAGGCAATCAAAATTCCTTAAAGCAACCACACACAGAAATGGCTAATAACACTCAATGTATACAAGAAAAAAGCTATAACTGAAGGCTATTTTGAGTAGCATTTTAATAGTTGGTACCTTCTCTTTGTCATCCTTTGTTCTACAGTAGCTTCTGATTTTACTTTATTTAATTTCTCCATGAATACCTAGTTATATACAACTATAGTTACATAAACCTGGTTATTCTCCTGTGAATATTTTCAGCAATATTTCGCTATTACTTTAATGCAAAAACAACTGTAGATTTACTTAAAACAGCCTAATTTTTATTCTCTTAATATTCTATCTTAGATTTCTTAAATACCAGTAATACATACTCACCATTTCAGCATTTTCTGCTAACTTTTGTTTTTCTTCTTGCTCTCTACAAATAAAAATGCAATTAGAACATTTACAATGCAAGAAAACAAATTCTAATAAAACTAATCTTGATCATGACCACTAAACTACTTAATAACCAGTCAGAAATGAAGGAGTTTGCCTTCCCAAGATTAAAGACGTCAATGTTTCATTAGCACAGAAAAGGCCTACTGCTACTCATTTCAGAGCTCATCATCAGCTCCACTTAACCAAAACCACTAACTCTACCCTGTCAAAGTTTTAAAGAATTAAAATGTTATGATTATCTCAACGTACTTACTGTTTAGCTCGTAATTTGGCTTCCACCTTATTTTGCTTTCTTTCTTCATTTTTTTTGGCAAAGTAATCTTCCCTAAAGGACACAAAACATTGAGATCAAGTTCATTAGTACAAAGGTAAGACTGCAAATTATTTTCAAAGATTTAAAACATAAGAAGAAACAATATATATATATATAAAATTTTTTAAAGATTTTTTTTTTAAATTTATTTATACAAGAACCAGGTTACAGACCAGATGTGTGGGGGGGGAGAGGATTCACCAGAGACAGAGCAGGGAACAGAACAGGCAGACAGACAAAATACACTGCTGAGGGGAGCAACGGGCAAGGCAGGAAAGGTCTACTGCACCATGTGGGTTTCTCCCCGGCCATCTGGGATCGAACCCGCACTGCAGAGGCTGTGGACAGCTTCACAGTGCAGCACTCAACCACCTGTACCACCAGGGAGGCCCTATATACGAATTTTTAATTTTTTTTTTATTTATGCATACAAGAACTAAGGTGTAGGCCAGAGGTGTGGGGGTGAGAGGATTCACCAGAGACAGAGTGGGGAGCAGAACAGGCAGATTTACTGAGGTACACTGCTGAGGGGAGGAGTGGGCAAGACAGGAGAGGTCTGCTGTGCCATGTGGGTTAGCTCCCTGGCCGGAGATTGAACTCATGCCACCAGCCACAATAGCTTGATAGCGCTGAGACTTTAATCCCTGTGCCACCAGGGAGGCCCAGGAATATATTTTCTGTCAACATGATTACTCAAAAATATGCCAAGGAGGGCCTCCCCGGTAGTGCAGCGGGTTGAGCACAGCGCTGTGAAGCTGTCCACAGCATCTACAGCGTGGGTTTGATTCCAGGTCAGCCAGGGAGCTACCCACATGGTGTGCAGACCTCTCCTGTCGCGCCCACTGCTCCCCTCAGCAGTGTACTTCAGTCGTCTGCCTGTTCTGCTCCCCACTCTGTCTCTGGTGAATCCTCTCACCTTCCCACGCTGGCCTGTACCGCAGCTCTTGTATAAAAATAAATCTTGAAAAAAAAAAAAAAAAAAGCCAAGGAAATTATTTTCATTAACAGTTTTACTAATAATTCACATCCCATAAAATTCACCCCTCAAAGTATACATGTCAATGTTTTATAATATATTCAGAATTTTCAACCTTCACCATTATCTAATTTCAGAAAAATTTCATGACTCCACGGAGAAACCCCATATCCACTAGCAATCTCATTTTGGCATTCATTTATCATTTGGGGGTGGGGGAGCATCCCAGCGGCAGGCAGGCAAATAGACAGGGACCATAAAGCAGATGTTATATGAATACTTTAGTGTTTCCTGTAGTGTTAATTTCACAAAAGGAAACTTTTACCCTAAAACCTAAGAATAAGAACAATTACGAAAAATTATGTAAAAAATTTATTTTGAAGGATTAACACTGATAGCATGGTTCATCACACTATCTGTAATGCAAAAATAGGGAACAAGGGCCCTACAACCAACTTTACCATGAAATTATCCTGGTGTGTCCTAATTCTTATATATAACTTACTGTGATCCAACTGTCATTAAGTAATGTTTTGTATTTTATAAAATACAGGCACATACAGATTATGAGAAATAAAGATATAGTTATACAGTGATTTATTCTCCAATCAAACCAAAAGACCAAATTTTAGTATCCAGCTTGATTACGAGATTTAGATGGAAAGTACTAAAACCAACCTCCTTTATAAGTTACTAACCAGTGAAAATGTAGTATTTCCTCACGGTCATGAAAGAATTAGTTTCTACTTAGCAAAATTCAGGCATTTCTCCAGGCCTCCCTGGGAATACTAAAAATACTGGCCTTACTCTACATTCCTTACCTCAATTTGTCAATTCCATATATCTATGTGGCCAAGAGAAACATCAGCAGAAAGACTTACTTGAAAAGTATCAGCAAGTCCGTATCTTTGTACTTCTGGCCAGGGGTCTCAACAAACTTCTTAGCGGATTCAATGCTCTCAAACACAGCAAATATTGATCCCTATCAAAAAAGGAAAGATATTTTTAAATTATGCCTAATTTTTCAACTAGGGAAAGTTAAAATGTCATATAATTATACCTTAAATGCTTTGTGCAATGTTCTTCTCATCTGAATATTTAGTACTTGACCTTTATCTTCTAACCATTCTTTTATGTCATCAAGTGTTGCATCGGTTGGGAAACCTTTCTATGAAGAAGAAGAAATGTACAAATGACTTCTCAGGCAAACAAATCACCAGAAGTTTTGATTCATTTGCCTTGAAGTGAAGCCGGATATAACACCTATCTCTCTTTCTGCCTCATGTGTTTAACAGACACTGTTCTACAGTGCAGTACAAAGTGACTCATTTATCTGGGTTTCACTTCAAAATAATCCAGTTAGTACAGAGATAAAAATAAGATTAGTCACACTAATATCTGGATAATGTCACCTTGAAGTTGATAACGATACATTACATCAATCTACTTTTGTATATCTGAAATGTTCCAGAGTAAAAAATCTATTAAAAAATTAATATGCTAAAAAAATTGCTATCAAGTTTTCCAGTTGTTACACTATGCAGTAAGTTTTGTTCAGCAGTATATAGATTTTTCATTTTTAATTCTCACAACAGTTTTATAAGGTAAAAAAAATTTTACCCCCATTTATGAAGATGAGGCTTAAAGAGGTTAAAAACACTGCCCCTTTAAGTACCTAAGTGTGAAACTATAATTCGTGAGCCCTTATCCACTCTATGTTCTTTCTAAATAAATGTAAGTTATAATTAATGCATTAAAGGGCCACTTACAATATACACAGATCTGTTTTTTACATCATTTTTATACTCATCAGTCACTTCAGGGAGGGGTTTGCTTGGAGATCTTCTGATTTTAGTTTTATCTTCACTTATTTCCATGAGTTCTGCCTTTGATTTGCTCAATGCTTCTACTATTACATTAAAGTCTGTTGTTAGACGGTTTAACCTGAGAATACATATACATATAAGCATTTTAAGACTTATTGGTAGCACTGTTAACAAAAAAAAAAATCTAAGGATGATTTTAAAAAGGCTTTTTTACCTGTTGAATTTTATCATTATCTCCAAAGGTACCCAGCCCTCATCCAGTTTGATTTGTTCCTTTAAAAATTTGTCCCGTGGTAAATTGAAGTCACCAAAATAATACTACAAGACAATTACAATTTATTTTAGAACACTGTGTAATACTGAATCCATTCTG